ATATATATATATATATATATATATATATATATATATATAGCGAGAGAGAGAGAGAGAGAGACAGAGAGAGAGAGAGAGAGAGAGAGAGAGAGAGAGAGAGAGAGAGAGAGAGCGAGAAGAAGAGTTTACAACGCTAACATACTCATCGCACTTAGTATTTATCGGAAGCCAGTATCGTGTGTCCAAACGAACCGTGATCCGAGGATTATTCGTAAATTAGTAAGGTGAATCATCGGTCCCCCGATATTAGCGGTCTGATATTAGTCATTGCACCAGCGAAGAGTTTCTCGAGGTTCATGCCGAAAATCGTCCACCTGTTTCAAACGCACTACGAGCAACTTAACGACGTACGGTAAATTCTCCCTAATTTTCCTTCAGCTAAACGAAAATGGACAATTCGAGGAGAGGGGATACGATTATTCGAGCCTCGTGCCTCGTTTTTACAATTGTTGACAATCGGTAATTATAGAGCCCTACGCTACTTTCGTCGAAGTTTCAAATTTTCGAAAAAATTGTTGATATTCGAACAGCTACAACTTTGTGCAAAAAAATCGTACAACGATGAAACTTGACTCATTTTAAAGCCCGAAGTGTCTACTTTCAGCGGCTTTTCGTTGATTTCTTCAAAAAAATTTATTCGCGACACGGTGGATGGGAAACCTCGTTCCAGGAACCTCGTTCCAACCCCCGAAACATCGATGGTATTTAAAACGCTATAACTTCGTGAGGAAAAATCATAGAACAAGGAAACTAAACTCATTTTAAAGCTTGAAGTATCTACTTTCGGAGACCGTCCGTCGATTTCTTCAAAAAAATTTATTCGCGACACGGTGGATGAAAAAACTCGATCCAGACTTCACGCGAAATTTCCAACCCCCGAAACATCGATGATATTCAAAATACTGTAAGTTCGTGAATAAAAATGGTAGAACAACGAAACTAAACTCATTTAAAAGCCTGAAGTCTCTACTTGTTCCGCGTATAATTTATTTTCGTCGAAAAAATTGTTCGAAGACACAGCACGCGGGAAACTATAGGAACGAGTCGCGAGACTCGAATAATCGTATCTGCTCTTCTTCAATTGTCCATTTTTGTGCACAATCTGAGTGTCAATTAGGGAGGCTTTACTTTGAATAATCAGCGTAGAAACGTTTATCATTTCATCGATAAATATATCACTCCGAGATACAAAAGCTTCGTCGACTAATAAACAACTGTACAGTATTATAATAGGTATTATATGTATATACGATAGCGAACGTCGCGCGTCAGTGGTCGTCCATTTTCTATTTTACATTGACGGTTCTCGGTTTTCCTTTTCAGACGACATTCCGTGCACACTCGCTGCTTCTCGCACACTTCTAGCCGACATTGTTTCAGACGATTTTACATTCGACGAAGTCTGGGCGCAGCTTTTTTTTAATAACCGGCTAAAAGCGTTACCACGCGCGTATGTTATATATTATACGATAGACGGGAATCGAAGGGACGAACGGAGGGCGGACGATTTTCTGCGTGGGCCGTTATTTGTCCGACCCTGAAATGCACTCGAACGCACTTTAACGAAACAGGTAACAAACGAATTCTTTGGTTGATCTCACGCGACAATGCACCTCGCACGATCACTCGTTGAAGACAGTTCATTGGAGCTCTTTCTGTTGGCTACTCGAGTACTCGAAGTACTCGTAACACTGTAATTGAACTCGAGTACTCGTGCGTTCTCTCTGAAACGAATATGTTTGAATACTGGATACTCTGTGTTCGAACTTGAATATCAGTATTTTGAATACTAAATTGAATCTGAATATTTTGAGTACTGACTTGAATCTCAATACTTTGAGTGCTGACTTGAATCTCAGTATTTTGAGTACTGACTTGAATCTCAGTACTTTGAGTGCTGACTTGAATCTCAGTATTTTGAGTACTGACTTGAATCTCAGTACTTCGTGTACTGACCTGAATCTCAATACTTTGAGTGCTGACTTGAATCTCAGTATTTTGAGTACTGACTTGAATCTCAGTACTTTGAGTGCTGACTTGAATCTCAGTATTTCGAGTATTGACTTGAATCTCAGTATTTCGAGTACTGAACAGTACTTAACATGAGACTTGAATCCGAGTACTTTGAGTACTGAATTGAATCCGATTATTTTTCGATTAAACTCGAATCCGAGTAATCGAATAACAGAATCAGGAACGGAGTGCTCGATTATCCAGATCCAAGGCTCGTAATTGCAAGAGCGCTCGAAGTATTCGAGCACTTGGATCCGACTGAACGGGAAGAGCTCCGAGTAAATAATTTAAATATACCCATAAGCGACGACACAGCCGTAAACACACTTTACGCATCCATTCCGATTAACGAGCGCGCAATGTCTTCGTTCAGCTTGTTTCCGGCGTTAAGTTGATCGCGGCAGCTTAAATGGTTAACCTTCAGTGGACAATCACCGTTCAATCATACTTTACCTCTTTAAACATAAATTCGTTAGCCGGCGAGCTAATTACCTGGTTCAAACGGTTCTCGATTCCATTGCGTTTCAGACGGGTTAGGCGGGACTTCGATATCCGTTCGGTGTTCCGGAGGTCAGTTCGGAGCACTCGGTGTCCAGTGACTGATAAAACAGCAGTACTGTTAAGGATATAGCTTGTAATTTTAATATTCTATATTCCAATTTTATAATGTCTTGGGTATTCGATACATATGCTAGCTTTAGACGGCAGGACTTTCGGGAACAACGCGAACAAACCCGCCGGCGGATCCCGGCAGATCGGCCGCGGTTTTCTCGGTCGTTTTCGAGGGTCTTCAATAAAAAAAATTGCCACGCTCGGGCGCTACCATTCTGTGATCCAATGAAAAATTAATTAAACTCATACCGAGAAATGAATAACGTTCTTTCGAAGAATCTTACTCTGTACATATATATTATTATACATCTCTACCTTTTTTAAATTGGTGCACGTTAATTATTAGTGAAACAGACAGAGAGAGCGAACCAGAGAGAAAGAGAGAGGGAGAATGTGAGAGAGAACGAGAGAGAACGAGCGAGAGAAAGTGCTATAATTAAAGGATGCGTGAGAGAAACAGTGTAACTTTTTCCACTCTGCGCATTAAACAACGTTCTGTACGATGTCACGGTGAACGGAAGTATCATTTTCGCCGCGAACCATTTTAGGCGAACGAACGAACGAACGTACGTACGAACGAACGAACGAACGAACGAACAAACAAACAAAAAAGAAGCGAAAAGTGACGGCGATTCGGTTCGATTGAATGTTGAGTGAAAGTGCCTTTTACAATGCGTTTCGTATCCGTAGCTTTTCGGTATTGATGGGACACCAGACCGGTTTTCGATTAGTCAGCTGAATCTTTTCCCTTTGTCAGGAATTGAATCGATAATATTTATCGGTCCGCGTGGACGAAAATTGTTAACATTCGTTACATTCCGGTTCTTTTCGTTGCGAACTGATTGAGACTAGAAAGAATGCGAACACGTGAAACACACGTAGATCGAATAGGTGCTAATCCAAGGTTTACGTACACTAATCCGGGGAACAGAATATTTACAGAACCGTATACACCGTATATATCTCTCTCTATATTAGTTGGTTAATTAATATTTAAGCGCGCGTCGTTTAAGCGATCGATTCATTTTTCATTATTCTTCCATTCCTTCGTAACTGAAAGGCTGAGACTCGCAAGGTTTATTCGACCGTTGTTTTATAATTTAGCCGCCTAACGGTGGTCGTAACGCTGTCATTCCGTTATATTGTTGTCTCTTTCGTTTATTTGTTTTGCTTATCGCAACAGAGTTTTAACGCACTACAGAGCTCCTGTTGGAAATGTTTACAAATTATTCGATCACGAACGATTCGATCACGAACGTTAGATCGATTCTACGCTCGAAAAAAAAAAGAAAAAAGAAAAAAGAAAAGACTAAAATCGAGAGCGACGAGATATCTCGATAGTCGCTACCGTGCGCGAGGAATCGCCGTTGAGAATATCCCGGAAACACGGCAACCCGCCAGCAGCGCTGCGTGTAGTCTTGGAAGGAGCGGCCGGGAGAACTTCGGGAATTTATTGCGGGAGAACCGTAAGAGCTATCGAAACGAAACTTTCGCAGGATTGTTACACTTCTATCGGTCTGTGCAGCCGATTTGTTTCGTCGCGGAGCACGTAAACAGTTCTCGCGCGTCGCGTGCCGCAATACGACCGTCGACGATCGAACGATTTCTTTGTTTCGCGT